CCCACCTTCTTCTTCGTCTGGACATTCTTCCCTCTCCATTTTTCACCCCCATGCAGCTAAGCCAATATCCCCACCTGCGAGAGGAGATGGAGCGTATCGTGACCACTTATATCCGGGAGAGAGAAGGAAGGACCAAAGACCAGGTATGTTCTATCTGAAGAAGCTTCCCATTTCTGTAGCCACCTTCCAGAGGAGACCCCTTGGGCAGCTTTTCATTTGGAGTCCAAGCTTCTCCTCCCAACAAACTCCAGCCTTCCTCCTCTGGCAAACCTCCAGACAAGGTAGCCTTCAACTCCCATAATGCTGTTCTGACTTAGGCTTCCCCAGCAGCACAAAGCCGAGGCCTCATACCAATAAACCCCTTTTATTTAATGTACAGTGAATTCCTCTCCAGCAAAGTCTTTCCTCTCCCACAGTCTTTCGAGATAGTTCACAATTACCGACCTTTATCAGGCTTGGAGAGTGGCCAAGCCGATATCTTTCAGATGCCGCAATACTTGGCAAGAATGCAGGAATGAACTAATTGTCTCCCGCAAACACTCCTCCTCTTTCGCTCCTCTTTTATTCCTATGACAGGGGCTATTCACTGTCCACTTGTGGCCTTACTCCCAAGTTAACCCTTGTTCCTTAGCTGTTCCCTTCGTCTTACAACTCTGTGCGTGCACACACTGGGAACAGGCTCCAGCTCTGCCTCTGATGGAGAGCCCTCCTCAGAGCCTTCCCCAGACTCCAGGACTGGCCCATGTTCCTCCCCAACCTCCTCACTGTCCGAATATGCTGTCAGATCCTCTAGCTGCTGGCAGGCCACAACAGCAACAGTTATAAGTATGAGGATCACTTGTAGCTCCCTTTTTTCAAAGCTGGTATAACTTCAAACAGTTGCTACACCAACAGTCATAAGTCAAGGACTACCTATACTCCTTTTCTTGCTAAACAAGCAAATCCATATATATTAATTTCGGAAGAACTAAAATGGTTCCTGAAGACAGGGGAATAAATTGTCACACATTCTGGAGCACATCCACTGGTTTAGATTAAGTCTTGCGGCTCACAGAGAGAACAGTATTAAAATGAGATCTGGCATATGTCACCGAACCTCAGCACAACACATTATAATGCATTACAAGGGAGGCTATCAAAAAATTGAAAATGCAACCAGTGTTTCAGTTAGTTACAGTAATTTTTCAATGCTATTCCAATCTTGTGCAAATTAGAAACCACTTATGGCTCTGAAGACTGACAGGAAACTGAATGAAGTCCTCATTATGCTTTTAATAGGATTACTGGTTATTTCCTACTAAAGTGTTCTTCACAACTAATTGTACAGCATACCACCAGATTCAAAACTGGTGTAAGAAACACATGAAGAATATTCTATCAAATTTAGGACAAACGGATCTCCAAATCGATACAGTGTCTTTCGCATCCAATTATGGTAAATAATTCCTCTTGTAAGCACAGCTCAAACCTTGCTGTATTATTATATGAATTGGTACCACTTCATTGCAAAACTATGCTTTTGAATCACGATCAAAGTTATTTTGTGGTACATAAAATAATGCCAAGTGCTTTAAAATACAGTTTGGGATGTTTTTGCCATATCAAACAGTTTCAGCTTGCTCCTATTATCAAGACTGTATCTTCCATCAACTTATAAGTCCCACTCCAGAGGTGGCATTCAGACAGTTCTGACAGGTTCTAGAGAACCGGTCGTGGAAATGTTGAGTAGTTCGGAGAACTGGCAAATAGGCTGGCCCTGCACCGCATCCTGCCAGCCTCCCAGCTGACCTTCTTTTGCTGTCCTGAACAGGAGAACAGAGCTGGAAAGCAGGTTAGTGGGGTGGGGAAGGAATTGGGATTTTGCAGTATCCTTCTCCTGCCACACCCACAAAGCTACGCCCACAGAACCGGTAGTAAAAAAAATTGAATCTCACCACTGTCCCATTCCCTAAAATGGATAACCATTCCATTGTTACAAGGAAGTGACAGTTTAACATTTTAAGTTTTAGGTTTCTTGGATTCCAAAAGAAAGTGCATTAATAATAGCACAGGGTTGTTGTTTTTCCAGATACCATGCACTCCAGAAGTTTTGTGGAATTTTCTCCTACTAAATTCAGTCAGCAAGACCATGTTCAGGAATTGTGGAAGTTCCATTCCGAGGTTCAGAGGACACTACATTATGAAAACTTTGAAGTATTTGTGTCACATATGGTATGGAATGAAAAGATACAGGATTGCTACAAAGGTAAGTCTCAGGTTACTTATTTTTGTCTTCATATCTGCATTCCTTTACCTTGCAAACCACAATATAAAGCTTAGAAAATGAGAATTTGTGAAATAAAATATCAGTGCATATGTACTTCTGGAAAGTGGTACTGGTAATTAACTAAATTTGTAACTCAAATTTATTCTTCCAAGTTTGGTCTACAGCAGAAGCAACATTTTAAGCTATGGTTGCATTATTTAGAATCACTGAACCCTGTTTAATTTTTTGAAGTTCAGAAAAGTACTTTACAAAAGCCTACACAACAGCAGATCTTCATCAGGTATGCTATTTTTTTTCACTGTTCCTCTTCTTTTCAATCCAACTGACCTAACTTTCAGAACACATGAATCAAATAGTACAAAGCTGGCAAATTTCTATTTGAACTGTAACTATAACTCAAGCCGAGGTGGCGCAGTGGTTAGGGTGCAGTACTGCAGGCCACTTCAGCTGACTGTTATCTGCAGTTCAGCGGTTCTAATCTCACCGGCTCAAGGTTGNAGAGATAGATAGACAGAGAGAAATAGAGATAGAAAGAAAGATAGATATAGAAAGAGAGAGAGGTAGAAAGAAAGAAAGAAAGAAAGAAAGAAAGAAAGGTAGAAAGAAAAAGAGACAGAAATAAAAAGAATGAGAAAAAGACATAGAAAGAGAGGAGAAAGAGTGGAGATAGATAGGAGATAGACAGACACATAGATGACAGATAGGGAGACAGGTAAAGATTCTGTAAATACTATCTTTTTCTGTTATATGAGAATTTAAAATATTGTGTGGTAAAGGATTTATTTTTGTAAATATCTGGGCAAATTTGCCAGAGGAAGCAATAGACGCCATCATGTTAAAAGTCCTCTTTCTTATGAAGATAGAAAAGCCATCGGAAGTGTTTACAAAAACTTGTTTGAAAGAAACCAGATTTTGCAATATTACATCTCTTCTCACCATGACTGTGAATAGTTGCTTGACTTACAACCCACTTTGAGGAGGGAAATGAAAATTAAAGTAAAGGAAAATAGGAAAAGGGGAAAAAATTCCCTCCCCAAATTTATCTTTGTCATATGTGTGAAGTAACACATCAAATTTGCAGGTTTTGGCATTCCCTCAGATAAGTATAGTTCTTAACACAGTTCTCTGTCCAAAAAAAAAAAAAATGCCAACTCTTAACTCTGGAGATTTTAAGAAGAGATTGGACAGCCATTTGTCCTGAATAGTATAGGGCAGTGATAGCGAACCTATGGAACACATGCCCAAAGTAGCACATGGAGTCATGTTGCCTGACATGCATGGCATCGCCCGTTCCTCTTCTGGATTTCTGGCATGCATGCGCCTGTGATGATCAGCTGGCCTTTGATCGTGCAGCAGTGCCAGAAACTGGAAGAGCTGGTCTTCCATTTTCAGGCATGACATGCATGCCAGTCAGCTGATCATTGCGCATGCATGTGTGCCAGTAACCAGAAGACTAGCTGGAAACTGTTCATTTTCCAGCTATTGCATGGCCCCCTGGGCAGCTCCTCTTCCGGGTTGTGGCCCAGATGACACACACACACACACACACACACACACACACACACACACACACACACACACACACACACACAGCCAAGAATAAGCATCTCTCCTTTAACAGCCAAAGCAAGCAGTGAAATTCACTTGGCTCTGAATTTACAACCTCCAGGAAGCATCTGACGCCTTTGATTATCTTATTCCATCCACTTGGCTTTCAGAGGGGCAAAGTGGCTTAGAGTTGAAAAACAAACTTGCGTGTTTGCCTCGGGCATAATATTGGAGCAAAATACTATGGCTCAATTATTTGTAGAGTTTTTTAAGAGGGGAGGTGAAGATGGCTCGGGGTTTGGGTTGGATCTGGTCTCCCTGGGCTACCTTAGATCAGTCGCTTCTCATCTTGAACAAAATGGAGAAGGGGGCACATTTTCATCTTGGAGATGCTAGCCCGAAGGCAGGTAGGTTTCTATCAGACAGGCAGTCTAGGCAGCAGGAGATTTCCTGAATGAAACAGGCAGTCAGGGGAGGGGGAAAATCAGTTTGTTCCTAGCAACCAACTCTTCAGATCAAAGATTTAGGCTAGTATCAAAAAACTTTGCAAGAGTTAGGAAATCTCGTTAGCCCCTGATGTCATCTGTTGCTCAATGAGCCAAAATACATTTTTGTAAATGTAAAATTGTGATACTGGAACTCTAAAGCCAGCCCTCTCCTCTGGGTAAATTACTATAGCATCACACTGTAAAAGATTAGATTAGATTGGATTAACAGAGTTGGGAAGGACCTTGTAGGTCACTTCATCCAACCACCACCACCACCACCACCCCGCCCGAGTAGGAGACCCTACACCATTTTTTTTACAAATGGCAGTCCAACTTCTTCTTGAAAGCTTCCAGTGATGAAGCTCCCATAACTTCCAAAGGCAACTTCTGTTCCATCGGTTGATTGTTCTCATTGTCACAAAATTCCATTTTATTTCTAGGTTAAATCTCTCCTGGATCAGTTTCCATCAATTATTCCTTGTCTGGCTTTCAGGTGCTTTGAAGAATAGCTTGACCCCCTCCTCTCTGTGGAAGCCCCTCAAATATTGGAAGATTGCTATCATGTCTCCCCTGGTCCTTCTCTTCACTAGACTAGCCAGGCCCAGTTCCTACAACTGTTCATTGTATGTTTTAGCCTCCAGTCCCCTAATCATCTTTGTTGTTCTTCCCTGCACTCTTTCTAGAGTCTCATCTTTTTTTATAATGTGGTGACCAAATCTGGATATTCCAGGTGTGGTCTTACTAAGGCTTTATAGGGTAGTATTAGTACCTCACATGCAGTTTATCTCCCTAGGTTGTACGGGGCCAGGGGCAAAGCAAGTGGGACTATGTGTAGTTTTATTGGTCTGCTTGTTTAACTCAAAAGAATCCCCACCAACAGAAATTTGTTCAC